AAGCCACTTCCGCATGAGTTCGATCCCCGCCTGCCCCAGAGGTGACCACATGGCGTGGCAGACCTCTCCTGGCCCGTCCGCTGCTCCCCTCAGCAGTGTGCTTCGTCCATCTGCCTGTTCTGCTCCCCACTGTTCCTGGTGAATCCTCTCACCCTCCGCATCTCTGGCCTGTACCCCAGTTCTGTATGATAAATAAATAAATCTTTAAAAAAAAAAGTAATTTCATTTGCTGCTTATGTTCTTGGCTGTGAAACGTGACACTTGGGCGCTCTGTTTCTGTTGCCTATTTTTCCCCCTGAGTATGGGTTATGCTTTCATGTTTCTTTGTTTTTTCATGTTTCATAACTTTAATTAAAATTCAACACTTCAGGGAACATACTGTAATACATTTTAGCAACGCTGGTTGCTGATTTCCCCACCCTCCTTTCTGGATGTTGGAAGCTGACTCTCAGTCAAATGTAACATTTTTTATTTTATACTTTTCTTACAGGATTATATTACTTTTAAAAAAGGTTATTTAGGCCCTCCCTGGTGGTGCAGTGGGTTAAAGCACAGCACTAAGAAGCTTAAGCCACTTCCTCATGAGTTCGATCCCTGCCTACCCCTGGAGAGATCCAGATGGCGAGGCAGAACTCTCCTGGCCCGCCCGCTGCTCCCCTCAGCAGTGTACTTCATAGATCTGCCTGTTCTGCTCCCCTCTCTGTCTCTGGTGAATCCTCTCACCCTCCGCATCTCTGGCCTATACCCCAGTTCTAGATGAATAAGTAAATCTTTAAAAAAAAAGATTATTTATCCTTACAAGAACTGGGTGTAGGCCAGAAGTATGGGGGTGAGAGGATTTACTAGTGATTAGAGTGGGGAACAGAGTAGGTAGATCTACTGAAATCCACTGCTGAGGGGAGTAGCAGGGAGATAGGAGATGTCTGCTGCGCCATGTGGGTCAGCTCCCTGGCCAGGATCAAACTTGAACTGTAGAGGTGATAGCGCTGAGACTCAACCTCTGTGCCACAAGGGTGGTTCCCTCATTTGGATTTTATTGAACTGGGGTGGGACTGTTAAGGGCTCCTTTGCACAGGCTGGGGTTTGAGTGGCCTGAATTTCCCACCTGCCCTAAAGGAGGGGGCACTTGGCAGTTAAACATAGATGGAATCACATTATGATAAAACGAATTGTTTGCTGTTGTGTGACAAATGCCCACAGCCTTATCACACAGCCAGTAACATGTTTTCTGGGGTTCCTAAGGCTGAGCACAGCCTTGGTACATGTGCTAAAGTCTCATAAGGCTACAGTCAGGTGTGGATCAAGACTTGCTGAAGACATAGCTGGGAGAGGACCACTTCAAGCTTGTGATTATCGGCAAGGTTTAGTTCCTGCTCCTAAACTGAGGGCCCCAGTATTGTGCTGCTTGTTTGGCTAGGAGCTTGTCCAGGAGGCAGTTTGTTTCATCAGAGCCAGTAAGAATCAGAAGTCTTCTGCCAATAAAAAGTGATAATCATTTGTAATACCAGTGGTTTCCATGGCCTTTGCCATATTCCACTGGTTAGAAATTGTTAAGTGAACCCCACCTGGGGGAATGGGATTCCACGAGGGCCTGGGGCCCAGGAGTCATGAATTGCTGGACTTCAGAGTCTACCACAGGCACCTGTGACCGTTTCCTTACATGCGTTGTGTAGTAACAACCCAGTTTCTTCTTGGTGATCAGGGTCAGGCACTCATCAAGACTAGCCTTTTGACTGTCCACTTACCAGAAGCATAAGGACTGAGCGACCAAGTGGCAGCCTCGGCTTTCAGATTAGCATCATTTTTGTGTCTCCTGGTGGAAGCACCCTGCCTTTGGAAGTAAGGTCTTTGTCCAGCAGAGCCTACGCCAATTTCAGCTAGAGGTTCATCAGGAGGTAACACTCCCCCTTGATCCTGGGACCCCAGGAGAAAAAGTGCCATATATTGGGTGCTGATTCAGAGCATATAAAGCACCCCCGGAGACGCCACCACAGCCCCAATGGGTGCCTCTCTGGTGACCTAGGGGTTAAGTCTCAGCGCTGTCACTGCTGTGGTGGCCTGAGTTTGATCCCTGGCCAGGGAACTAACCCATATGAAACAACAGACCTGTCTTGCCTGCTGTTCCTGTCCACAGCAGTGTATTTCAGTAGCTCCACCTACTCTACTCCCCACTATGTGTCTGATGAGTCTTCTCACCTCCCAGCACTGCACCTCTGGCCTTTATGTTAGTTCTCGCAAAAAAAGAAAGAAAGCCTGCCTCAGAAGGGCAGTGAAGTGTATTGGTGGCCTGAAAAAACACTACTTCTTGTGGTCTTTTTAAAAAAAAAAAAAAAGATTTATTTATGCATACATAATGGGTATGAGGTGCAGGTGCAGTGCCAGGATTTACCAAAGAAGTGGGGAGCAGAGTAGGCAGATCAACGAAGTACACTGCTGAGGGGAGCAGCAGGGAGACAGGAGAGGTCTGCTGTTCCATGTGGATCACCTTTGGGACCGAGATCGAGTTCATACTGAAGCGATGAGGCTAGCTTACAATGTTGCATCCTAACCCATTGCACCACCAGGAGGGCTCTCTGGTGGTCCTTACTGACATATCAATTTGTTCAAGCAATGAAAACACATCAGGAACAGAATATACAATTAAACTCCACATCTTATTAAATGTACACTTGACTCATCATAAGTACCTCAGAAGTACTTATGATACAGTGTGCTTTGTGCTATGTGTGTCACGTCTTCATTTCTCTGTGCATCTTCATGGAACCTCATGGAAATGAATCTCTGCCTGGGACTTTGCTTCTTTGTGCAGTATCCACAGCAGGTTCTTTTGCAACTATTTTCAAAAATTGGAAGTATGCATTTGACTTGGCTAAGTTAACCTATGAAATTGTTGGTAAGTAAAGTATACTGCCAGGAAATGAGAAATGCCTGTATAGCATCATTCTATGGGGTATGTAATTAAACTAAAAACTATACCCAGCTTTAATCTCAGGGCCCGTTTTTACTCATGCCCAAGTGTCCCGCAGTAACCACACTTTTTGCTTATTGACTCTGGAATTAATATTCATACCTTTATTTTTTATAATACAGATACTAATAGATCGTTTTCCTTTAATCACATATAATTCTAAAAGTCCAACCATTTTGTGGGTCAGGAACTTAAGAAGGCTTAGATGACATGCTCTTACATGGGTCTCTTATGTATATCCAGTTGGACATCAGCAGAGACTACAGTCATCTGAACACCTGACTAGATTTCTAAGGTGCCATCTTAAACGTATGGGCAGCAGGTACTGGCTGATGGTCCAGAGCCAGTGGGGCACAACTGACTGGGGTTGGAGTATCAACAAAGACTATGATCTCAGTGTGGCTGGACTTTTATTTAAAGATTTATTTATGCATACAGAACTGGGGTACAGACTGCAGGGGCAGCCAGAGGATTCACCAGAGACAGAGTGGGGAGCAGAACAGGCAGATCGATGAAATATACTGCTGAGGGGAGCAGCGGGCAGGTCAGGAGAGGTCTGCTGCGCCATGTGGGTCAGCTTGCTCCCCTCAGCAGTGGATTTCAGTAGATCCACCTGTTCTGCTCCCCACTCTGTCTCTGGTGAATCCCCTCAACCTTTGCACCTCTGGCCTGCACCCCAGTTTATGTATGCATACGTAAATACATCTTTTAAATAATTCTCTAATGTGGAACAAGGAAATACTGGGTGCTCCCCTTTTTATAGCATGCCTTTTTTTTAATGTCATATAAGGCATTACTGTGATTAAAGGCAATCTCACATTGCTTTCAGTAGTCTGGAATTAGCTATTAAGATTTGGGTTGTAGCCATAAGTCTGCACAATTTGCATGCCAATTTCCTCAACATAATTTATAGAATTTTCCTCTTGCATGAATTCGCTGGTTGAACCATCACCATATTGATTACATTTGGTTGTTTCCCTTCAGAGTGAATTGTTTCATGCTGTGAAAGTTCTGAGTTGTTAGGTAGTATCTACCAAAGCTGACTGAGTATACATATATCCAGGACCCAGCAATTCTACTCCTAAGTATATACACAAAGGGGATGAATATACGGTATACCATAAGACAAATGTGATTGTAGGAGTGTTATTTATTCTGACCCAAAGCTGTAAACAATAAGCAGGTCCATCAAAAGTAAACGGGATAAACTGTGATATAATAGAATTCTATATAGATTGAAATACATGAACTTTTGTCTCATGCATTAATGATGAGTTTTAGACATGATTAATGAAACAAGCCATATAGGAAAGAATACATAATATATAATCCAATTTATATAAAGATTTATAATATGCAGAAACTAATTCATAATGTTAGAAGTCAGAGCTGTGGTTAACTTTGAGGAGGAAGCAACTAATTTGTATTCTATATTTGCAATGGAAAGTACAACTCATACCTCCTTTTTGTTTTAAAGCACTTCTACTCACAGTGTGACCTGTGGACCATATTAGTAAGCTAACTGTTTATTATGGGGTCACAAGTATATTGAAATTGAAAATAAGCACTTTTAAATGTGTATAACAACTTGAAGGGAAGTTTATGTCTCTTGAATCTAATAATGAAAAACCTAAGCTTGTTTTTCCAATGAGTTTTTGTCATGTCATTTATCTCGTAGTTCTCTGGGTGTTTTTAGGCTGGCAAATGGTAAATATGTGATATCATACTTTAAACTGTTGACCACTTTTACACTTGCAATCAACATCATATACAAGGTCTACCATGACTTTAAAAGTTTTTACCAAGAAAAGTTATATCCTTTACTGAATTATCATGGTTTCTACCTTGTGAGTTTTCTGATGTACAATGACATTTGACTTACAGCTGAAGAACTTCCCACATTCTTTACATTCATAGGGCTTCTCTCCAGTGTGAGTTTTCTGATGACGAATGAGATTTGACTTTCTACTAAAGGCTTTCCCACACTGAGGGCATCCATTGGATTTCTCTCCTGTATGTATTCTCTGATGGACAGTGAGGATTGCCTTCTGGCGGAAGGACTTCCCACATTCATTACAAATATAGGGTTTTTCCCCTGTGTGAATTCTCTGATGGAGAGTGAGGGTTGTCTTTTGGCAGAAGGACTTCCCACATTCATTACAAATGTAGGGTTTTTCTCCTGTGTGAGTTCTCTGATGTACTGTGAGGGTTGTCTTCTGAATAAAGGCCTTCCCACATTCGTTACACTGATAGGGTTTCTCCCCTGTGTGAGTTCTCTGATGATCAATGAGGTATGACTTCTTTCTAAAAGCACTTCCGCATTGAGCACACTCATAGGCTTTCTCCCCTGTATGTGTTTTATGATGTCTCGTGAGGGTTGCCTTTTGGCGGAAGGACTTCCCACAATCCAGACAAATGTAGGGTTTTCCCTCTATGTGTGTTTTCTCATGAAGAGTGAGTGCTGTCTTTTGACGGAAGGCCTTTCCACATTGACTGCAAACATAAGGTTTCTCACCTGTGTGAATTCGCTGATGTTCAACAAGATATGACTTCCTCCTAAAGCTGTTCCCACAGTAAGGACACTGAAAAGGTTTCTCTTCTGTTGGAGATGGCTGTTGCATAATAAACATAGGCTTCCTGCAGAGGAGCTTTCCATATTTGTTATAAGCCTGGGGCTTCTTCTCATTAAGATTTTGTGGATGTACACTGAGATTTGACTTTTCGATGAAATCTAGTTCATCTCTTTTGCATTCAAAGGGTCTTTCTCCTCTAAGAGCTCTTGTGTGTGTAAATAACATTCCCTTCATTAGGAAGTCATTATGTTCAAATGATTGCTCTGGAGCTTGAAACTTCTGATGCTGGTTAAGCTCTTGTTTCCCATCATGACTCCCTTCTGTTTGTTTACAGAGATTTCCTGCAGTCTGAATTTTCTCATGCTTGGTATTGAGTGATTTCTCCCATCCATTACCTTCACCAAACTTCTCTCTTATAGGGCTGATATTTCTAATGACTAATTCTGAAATATTTTTCAAAACCTTTCCATCAGGGTTATAGTCACATAGTGTTGCTTTCGATATAGTACGCTTGTTGCCTATGGCAAATGTTTTCCCCAAAATATTACTTCTCTCCTTACTTTGTCTTTTGTGGTTGATGAATACAACTGATTTTGAATTCCTGTCTTGGTATTCTTTGAATTTCACTAAAACATCTTCAGGGTTTCCATTTTCTTCTAGAAAAGAATACAATCAGCAACACTGTAAGTCTTCACACAAATGCTGTGTTTTGGTTGAATATACAAATGACCCATCGTAAGACTGGCTATTTCACTTTTGTAGTCCACAGAAAGGTCAAAATAACCTCTTGGAGGGGAAAACACACAGAACATAAATACAAATCCTGCTATTCTATTAAAATTAGGAAAAATTGTGTCCTCCCTGGTGGCTCAATGGGTTAGTACGCAGCACTGCAAGCCAGCTACAGCCGCTTCAGTTCAAGTTCAATCCCCAGCCCTGGAGGTAATCCACATGGCATGGCAGACCTCTCCTGACCTGCCCGCTGCTCCCCTCAGCAGTGTACTTCATCGATCTGCCTGTTCTGCTCCCCACTCTGTCTCTGGTGAAGCCTCTCATTGCCCCTGCACCTCTGGCTTATACCCCAGTTCTGTATGAATATATAAATAAATATTTTAAAAAATAATTAGGAAAAACTGGGGACTCTGGTGGCCTAGGGGTTATCTCAGTGCTATCACTGTGACAGCTTAAATTTTATCCCTGGCCAGAAAGCTGGCCCACACATGGCATAGCAGACCTCTCCTGTCTCACTCGCTGCCCCCTCAGCAGTGTATCTTAGTAAATCCACCTGTTCTGCTCCCCACTCTGTCTCTGGTAAACCCTCTCACTCCCTGTACCTCTGGCCTACAACCTAGTTCTGTGCAAAAATAAAATCTTTTTTTCCTTAAAAGCTATGGTACTCTAGGCCCTCCCTGGTGGCGCAGCGGGTTAAAGCACAGCACTGAGAATCTAAAGCCGCTTCTTCATGAGTTCGATTCCGCCTGCCCCGGAGGTGGCCACATGGCGTGGCAGACCTCTCCTGACCCACCCACTGCTCCCCTCAGCAGTGTACTTCGTCGATCTGCCTGTTCTGCTCCCCATTCTGTCTCTGATGAATCCTCTCACCCTCCGCATCTCTGGCCTGTACTCCAGTTCTGTACGAATAAATAAATAAATCTTTAAAAAAAAAAACTATTAAAAAAAAAAAGCTATGGTACTCTAAAAAAAGATAAGCTTAAAATACATAAGTAAATAAAATTGGGAAAAATTGACGTAAGTAGAAAACACCTATCTTTGACATCTTATAAATATGAGCAACATTGAGCAATAAGCCAGGTGTGATGAGCAAAAGGACAAGCTAGTGAAAGACAAGGGCAGGTGAATATGGTATTGGTCTTAGCACAGGCAGAGTCAGAGATGCTGGCGTGAGCCTATGAAAGGCACACAACAGCGCTCAGCAACAATCAAGGAAAATTACTCAGGTGAACATGAAAGCCTGTAGGCTTATTCCCACAGGTCTAAAGTTTTATAAACTACTTCCATTAGTTTCTTCCTCATTTGCATTTAGCTATCCATGGCAATTTAACTTTTTCTAGCATTCATTACCTAGTGCTGACATAAATAATAGTCCGTGGCTAGGTCCTACTCTCCACATAGCTGACTTCTTTTCACTTGAAAGGGAAACATGGTGAAACATATTCCCAGTGGGGATTATAAAGTAGACCAGAAGACAAAACTTACTGTGATGTGAATATAATCCCTGTTGTATCTATTCTAATGTATATACATGTATGTAAATACAATTACTGACATTGCTACTGTCAACTTTTTAATAAAGATTTATTTATTTATGCCCACAGAACTGGGGTACAGGCCAGAGGCAAGGGCAGTGAGAGGGTTCACCAGAGACAGAGTGGGGAGCAGAACAGGCAGATTGACAAAGTACACTGCTGAGTGGAGCAGCGGATGGGTCAGGAGAGGCCTGTTGCGCCATGTAGGTCACCTCCTGGGCCGGGATCGAACTCGCACTGAAGCAGCCACAGCCAGCTTTGCATGCTGTTCTCCAAACCTCTGTACCACCAGGGAGTGTGGGAAGTCAGTGTCTTATTATTTCCCTTGGAATCTGAATGTAGGGTAAAGGATGTGATCTGGGCATATGTATCTACGAAGAACTTACCAGTAAGTGATTTCTGGTAAGTTCAAATAGTAGTTATAGCAGTTCATGCCAAGATAGTAAGGCTCTCATTTTGGAAGATGTCATTGGCAAATGAGAAAATGAGAAGGCAGAAAGATGTTTCACAAAGTGAAATAAAATAACATTGTTCAGAGATCATTAAGAATACGTAATGGGGCCTCCCTGGTGGCATAGGGGTTAAGTCTCAGCACTATCACCTCTTCGGCCTGAGTGCCATCCCAGGCCAAAGAGCTAATTCACATGGCGCAGCAGACCTCTCCTGACCTGCCCCCTGTTCCCCCAGTTTTACATAAAAATAAATAAGAAAACTTTTAAAAAAAAGATTATTCGTTTAAAAGATAAAAAAGTAGAAGAAATGACAGAATCAACCTAATGCTACAAGTGGATATACAAGTATACAGAAAGAAAGAAAGATAAGTTAGTGATAACTGTTTCTCAGGTATCAAAACCAAAGGGCTGAGAGAAATGACTGCTGCACTGCTATAGGCAGATTAAAATGTACACTAGAGTTCAAGTGGGAGACATGGGGTGGTGGTATCTGATGATGAGCAATATCAAAAAAGGCCCACTAGCAGTTTCTACAGTACTCAGAGGGGGATCCACAAAGTCCAAACTATTTTTATTAGTAATAACAACACTTTGAAAGTCATTCACGGAAATCACACACATCAATGACAGCTGACAGGACTTCCCCAGAGATAGGAACTGAGGATGAAGAAAGAACCTTAAGGACACATCAGGAAAATCTTATGAGAACCTGCTGAAATAAAATCCATTTATTTAACGAATATTTATGATTGTTTTCCTAGGCAATAGAGAAGAAGGGGGGGAAAGGCACTAAGATATGAAACGGTCCTCTGGGAAATCGGGTAAGTCTCAGTATTTTTCACCCAGTTCAAGAGAGTTGGGTGCAAGGAATTTGAACACTGTGATATGAACCAGGAAGATTTACTAGAAATGGTGACAACGAAATTCAAGGCATAGAGATTTTGGAACCTGGGGGTGGGTCTGGCAGTGAGGGTGGGATGAAGTCAGTGCAGGCTCTGCTGAGGGAAGGAAAAAAAGAAAGTGAAAACTATAGGAAGACATATATTAGATAATGACTTTCCCTTTACTTTTTGGATAGACTTAAGTAGGAGACAGAACAAAAGCAAGAAGGTAGAGGATTGAAAAGAGAGATGAAAAACATAAAAAAAAAAAAGGCCCATTAGCAGATTCCACATAGCACCTGAGACCCTCAGGGATCCAGAGAGTCAAAACTATGTTTGTCAGTAATAACAGTATTATATCTTTTTTTAAACCAAAGATATTAAAACTTCGTGAAATATGGAAAAATGATTAGTACAGTGTATAAAATACTGGTACATTAGCATACCTCAAAGTACTGCACTAAGCTATTAATCACTATATTTCTCACCATCATAGACTCACAGGAGAAAAAAATGTCTTACTTAAAACTGTTCTTGAGAAGCTTCCCTTAGCCTAGGGGTTAAGTCTCAGCACTTTCACCCCAATGGCCTGAGTTCTATCCCTGGCCAAGAGCTGACCCCACATGGCACAGCAGACGCCTCCTGACCAGCCTGCTGTTCCCCTCAGCAGTGGATTTCAGTGGATCCATCTGTTCTGCTCCCTACTCTGTCTCTGGTGAGTCCTCTTTCCCCACCCCTTCACCTCTGGCCTACACCTCAGTTCTACAAACAGATAAACAAACAAACAAAATTGCTGGTGATATCAATCAATAAAATGGTTTTGGGTTTTTTTTTTTTAAAGATTTATTTATTTGTGCATACAGAACTGGAGTACACACCAGAGGTGCAGCGGCGGCAAGAGGCTTCACCAGAGACAGAGTAGGGAGCAGAACAGGCAGATGGACGAAGTATACTGCTGAGGGGAGCAGCGGGCGGGTCAGGAGAGGTCTGCCGCACCATGTGGTCTCCTCTGGGACAGCCGGGAATTGAACTCATGCGGAAGTGGCTTTAGCTTCTCAGTGCTGTGCTTTAACCCGCTGCGCCACCAGGGAGGGCCGGGTTTTGGTTTTTAAAAATTATTTTAAATTAAAAATGGAGAAGGGGAAGTGCACAGGACTATGGTGATGGCACATGGTGATTACAACAGAGATGGAAAAGGCACAAAATGATGTAAAAATAAACTATTATAAAAATATTTAAATTAATATTTAATTTTTCATATTTATATAAAAATATATAGAAAGGTATCAAAATATGGAAATTCTGTAAACCAGCAACTGTTATTTTCTAAAAGTTGAATACATAAAATCATCCCAAAATGCATGCATTAAAAACAGGTCCCTAAATTCACTCAGCTTGTCACCTGTCTGCCTCTATCCTTTACCTGCAGAGACTCACCTAGGTAGAGCTGACCGGGAAAAATTCTCTCTGTTGTCCATGGTTCTTCTCCCTGTTCCAACTTGCGGATCATATCAGGTTTAGCCATGTGAAACCCTGATGATAAAAAATGAGATTTGTTCTAAGCTGCTTGGGCTTTGAAACTACTGAAGAAGGGGCTATTCCATTTTGAGTTGTCCGATGACGTTCACATTCATGTATTACCAAAGTCAGTACTTTGCATCAGCGAATGAGAACATATTCATACTTTGTGCTAACTAAAAGGCATTCATTACCTCTCATCCCTGCAATTCAAAGCCCCACGTATTCTGGAAGGTCATGCCCAGAGGTGCATGACACTGGCAGGTTCAAGGAGTCTTCCTTACCCACAGAGACGAGGTGGCAATAGTTTTCCAACATGACGTCCCTGTAGAGGGACTTCTGGGCGAGGTCCAGGTGCTCCCACTCCTCCGGGGTGAAGTCCACAGTCACATCCTTGAATGACACGGACCCCTGTAAGGGCACACTCTAGTTCATCCTAAAGTGATTGGAACTAGTGAGAACTAGATACTGGAGACTTAGCTCTGACCGTGACCAGTGGTCAGACTAGCTTTCCTGTTTTATACCGTAATCCTGAAAACAGATTCCTCTCATTAGCTCATGTTAAAAATATGAGGTCCTACTTTTTGCCTTGAGGTCCTTAGTTACCTGGTGGCAAAAGGAACAGGCCCTTGCCCAGCCAGGAGATGCCCTCATGTCGGTTCAGGAGAGGCCCTCATGTTAGGGGTCAAGGTGCAAAGACAGATGCACACCTGGGCCAATGCTACAAAGTGAGGAAGTTTTGGTCTGTATTCCAAGGCTTCTTTGAAATATAGAGCACTGGCTTTTAAAATTCATGGGGAGAAAGAAACTGGAAAGTTCAGGAACTAGCAAAGGGACAATATATAAGCAAAGAGCCATTGAATTCTAAAGAAAAAGAAAAAAAAAAACAGGCCTGTGGAGGTAGGCAGTAGGCATGTTTATGGAATAACTCTGGGATTTCACCTCACAGAGTCACAGTCTTCAAAGGTACTGACCACATTCCAACATATTCAGCAGGCAGGGGCCTCCCGTGGCCTAGGGGTTAAGTCTCAGCACTTTCAACACAATGGCTTAAATTCAGTCCCTGAAGCTGACCCACATATGTGCAGCAGACTGCTCCTGTCTCCCCAGTGGATCTGCCTGTTCTGCTCCCCACTCTGTCTCTGGGGAATCCTCTCACCCGCCCCCTGTATCTCTGGCCTCCACCCCAGATCTTCTAAGCGAAAAAAAAATTGTGCTTGGTTCCTTTTATGTCTAGAAATATCTTTTCAATTATTGGTAGCTTGGTTATTGAATTGTAGGTTATAAAAGATTAGAAGGAACAAAAAATATAGAGAAGATAATCTATATCTATAGATATATATTGTTATAGTACAGTCTGCAGTGGTTTCATGGGCAGGCCAGTTTGTAGGGATTATAGGAGGATCAGATATGAGAAGTACAAGATCTCACTGTTGTTGTAACTTATGATCAGGGGCCTCCCTGGTTGTCTAGAGGTTTTCTCAGTGCTATCATGGCCACGTACTGAGTTCTATCCCTCGCCAGGCAGTGACCAACATGGCACAGCAGACCTCTCCTGTCTCACCTGCTGCTCCCCTCAGCAGTGTATTTTAGTAGATTCACCTGCTCTGTTCCCCACTCTGTCTCTGGGGAATCCTCTCACCCCCCACACCTCTAGCTTACACCCCAGTTCTTCCATGCAAAAATAAATATTTTTTAAAAAGAAACTTATAATCAAATTTCTATCCTGAAAGCCACAAAACATCTAATCACAAATTCTTAGTCTGTGACCTATTCGATGTGGTTTTGTAAAATCTAGGTCAGTAGACACGATCAGGCTGACTCCTCCCAGCTTAGATCTTCAATCAGCAACCAGACAAGGTCAGGAGAGGTCGGCTGAGGCTGCGCCATGTGGGTCACCTCCTGGGTGGGGTTCAAACTCATGCTGAAGTGGCTTTAGCTTCTTAGTGCCATGCTTTAACCCACTGTACCTCCAGGGAAGGTGGGGGATTTTAGTTTAACTGACTATAATAAGACAGACTGGGGACAGGGCTGCAGCTAGGCTGGGCAGTATCAGAGGCAACAGCCTAAGAGCACTCCTGAGACGTCACGTTATGGACCACCTAATCCAGGCCCTAATCCCACCCCTAATCCACCCCTAATCTAGGCCCTACCGCACATCAGTTTTATGGGAGCAAATCTCAGTTTTGGGAAATTTCAGCGCAAGGAAACAAATGTTCAGTTAACCTGAAAACAAGATATTTCAGAAAGAGAAGGTATATCATCTCACCTGAGGCATGGCTTTGAGGTCGGCAGGAGGTGAACTTCCTACTTAGAACTCTTCTTTTGAAAATGGGAAGCATCCTGAAAACAAGGTATTTCAGAAAGAGAAGGTATATCATCTCACCTGAGGCATGGTTTTGAGGTCGGCAGGAGGTGAACTTCCTACTTAGAACTCTTCTTTTGAAAATGGGAAGCATCCTGGGAGGGCAGAGAGGGAGAGTACCAATGGGAAACCTGTTAAGTTAGACCTAGAACATCCCTGAACTCCGCATCAGCTGTCACTGTATTTAACCCTTGTCCACTGTGTACCCCATGCCGGGCCGTTCTGATGCAAGTTCGTGACAAAAAAGACAAACTCTGCTCCCTCATCAGCCCTCAAGCCAAGTCTGTCAGTGAGGAAGGGTGGGTCTGGGAAATCTGCAGCGCAGAGGGCCCTTTGTGCTTCCCCTCTGTGACCGGCCTTCCCTCTCCATGCAGGACTGCTAGTTTCCTCTTTCTGACTGTTTTTCATAGACTTCTACCAATTTATCCTGTTATCACTATGCAGAATACCTCCCCACCCCTGGCATGTGCAGTCAGCAGTAACTTTTTAAGCTTTGTGTCAGCTTATACTGTAGTTCTAAGGAACATGCACACTGCTTATTATGAACAAGCTCCTTTTAGTAGATTTAAAGTAATTTTTGTTTTTTTCCTGGGAGGGTGTTTCCTCTTTTTCTCTTGAATTTTTATTTCCTAATTGGTTGAAATTATCTTCCTTTTTTTTTTTTAATTTAGTATAGTTACTCATGTTTTGCCTTGTGAAGTTGTTTTCTCTGTATGTTAGCAATACTACATATTTATGGAAATGTAATTGGTATTTCCTCAATTGACATGAAATGCTAACTCTATATGACATGTTCCTAGATGCTTGAGAATATCTCCATTTTCTATTTAATTTCACTGCTTCCTCTCTTTACTGACTTACCTGTATCACATTACTTAATAAATACAGCTAATTACGGCAAATAATGAATACATGTTAATTATTAGGCAAAACCCAGGTATGCAAATAGAAAAAAAGATATTTCCACTCTGTAGACTTCTAGGCAGAGGCTAATATTTTTCCAAAGTCTCAATTGAGTGCTACAATGAATATATTACAAAATAACTGTTTTAACTGTGAAAGTGAGACTGAAAATAACTGTTTTAACTGTGAAAGTGAGACTGGCCTAATGATTAAAAGTGTTCCAGATACTTTTATTATCTTTGAATGCCTGATGAAGTTGCCAGTGATGTCATCCAGAAGCAGGAAGTAGCAGTGTAGAAAGCACTAGTTATGGCTGGGTAACGTTTACCCAAACATTATACCTGCGTGCTACCTTGGAACACTATTTCAGCACTTGGCTTAAGCTTATGTGTTGGTTCCCAGCAATGAATCGTCTTACCATCTGGGAATTATGAAAATCTTACCTCTTCCTTTCCAGTATTTTTACCTCTATTTTACTTGCTCAACTACTGTTTTAGAGGCAGGCTTAACAGCCACTGTCCACATCATCACATCTCCTAAATCCACCCAACTAGATGTGGTCATACAGAACTTGTCAGTCACAAAATCTACTCAAATAATAATAGGTTACAAATACATGCACAGTTCCATTTAATCAGACTTCGAAAACCCACCTCCCATGCCCCGTAAGTCATGCCCCTCGGGCAGCATATCACAATATTCCATCACAAATTGCACTTTATCTTTTCCCTGGTCACTTACAATCGCCAACACGGATGCAACCTCATTAAAAACAGACATATACAGAAGCAGCCCCACGTAGCAGCTCTCCAGTCACTTTTCACACAACACGCCGCAACACCTCAGAGTAGCAGGCAGGCAAAACACAGCTGGCCGGGCGCTCGGGCAAGTGTACGTGTACACACACGTGTACGTGTACACACACACACACACCAGCGCGCGCCCGCTCGAGGAGGCCCTGCCCCACGCAACCGGGCTCCCTCCGGATCGAAGCCCACCCAGCCCCCGCGGGCAGAGCCGGCCGCGGGTCCCACTCCACTCTCCCCCTCAGAGTCACACCCACGAGCCCCGCCCGAGGCCCCGCG